TATTAACTTAAATATTTATCACTGACATAGATTTATTTATAATATATGTATTTAAATATAGTTTTGAATGAGAGTGTAATATTTACTTTCATTGTCAAATGTTTTCTCGATTTAATAAAAAGAAATATTTATATTATATTATCCGAGTTTTTATTCGGTTGATTTTGTTTAAAATTGATCTAAATTTATCTAATGAATTTTTTTGTTAAATTTGACAGTTTGAGAGTATAATCAACTTTATCAGTTTTAATGTTTGATTCATTTTGGTGATTGGTTGTATGGTTATACAAATTGACTACAATTTGTTTAAAGAATTATTTTTTTTATTTGACAGTTTGAGATTATAACCAACTTTATCAGTTTTTAATGTTTGATTCATTTTGGTAATTAGTTGTATGGTTATACAAATTCACCCCAATTTGGTTAATTAAATCTTTTCTTTTGACAGTTTGAGATTATAACCATTTTTTTGTGTGACTCATTTTGGCCATTGGTTGTATGGTTATACAAATTGACAACAATTTGTTAAAAGAATTTTTTTTATTTGACAGTTTGAGATTATAACGAACTTTATCAGTTTTAATATTTGATTCATTTTGGTGATTGGTTGTATGATTATACAAATTGACTACAATTTGTTTAAAGAATTATTTTTTTTTATTTGACAGATTGAGATTATAACCAACTTTATCAGCTTTTAATGTTTGATTCATTTAGGTAATTAGTTGTATGGTTATACAAATTCATCCCAATTTGGTTAATTAAATCTTTTCTTTTGACAGTTTGAGATTATAACCATTTTTTTGTGTGACTCATTTTGGCCATTGGTTGTATGGTTATACAAATTGACCCCAATTTGTTAAAAGAATTTTTTTATTTGACAGTTTGAGATTATAACCAACTTTATCAGTTTTTAATGTTTGATTTATTTTGATAATTACTTGTATGGTTATACAAATTCACCCCAATTTGGTTAATTAAATCTTTTCTTTTGACAGTTTGAGATTATAACCATTTTTTTGTGTGACTCATTTTGGCCATTGGTTGTATGGTTATACAAATTGACCCCAATTTGTTAAAAGAATTTTTTTTATTTGACAGTTTGAGATTATAACCAACTTTATCAGTTTTAATGTTTGATTCATTTTGGTGATTGGTTGTATGATTATACAAATTGACTACAATTTGTTTAAAGAATTATTTTTTTTATTTGACAGTTTGAGATTATAACCAACTTTATCAGTTTTTAATGTTTGATTTATTTTGGTAATTACTTGTATGGTTATACAAATTCACCCCAATTTGGTTAATTAAATCTTTTCTTTTGACAGTTTGAGATTATAACCATTTTTTTGTGTGACTCATTTTGGCCATTGGTTGTATGGTTATACAAATTGACCCCAATTTGTTAAAAGAATTTTTTTTATTTGACAGTTTGAGATTATAACCAACTTTATCAGTTTTAATGTTTGATTCATTTTGGTGATTGGTTGTATGATTATACAAATTGACTACAATTTGTTTAAAGAATTATTTTTTTTATTTGACAGTTTGAGATTATAACCAACTTTATCAGTTTTTAATGTTTGATTTATTTTGGTAATTACTTGTATGGTTATACAAATTCACCCCAATTTGGTTAATTAAATCTTTTCTTTTGACAGTTTGAAATTATAACCATTTTTTTGTGTGACTCATTTTGGCCATTGGTTGTATGGTTATAGAAATTGACCCCAATTTGTTAAAAGAATTTTTTTTATTTGACAGTTTGAGATTATAACCAACTTTATCAGTTTTTAATGTTTGATTCATTTTGGTCATAACTTGTATGGTTATACAAATTGACCCCAATTTGGTTAATTAAATCTTTTCTTTTGACAGTTTGAGATTATAACCATTTTTTTCTATGACTCATTTTGGTCACTAGTTGTATGGTTAAACAAACTTACCCAATTTGTTTAAAGCATTTTTTTTAATTTGTCAGTTTGAGATTATAATCAATTTTATCTGGTTTTTAATGATGATTCATTTTTGTTGCTTCACTGGTAACTTTTTCTTTTTCCTTGATTGAACACGACTGACCGGTACCACGCGACTGAAGACTAGATTGAAAGTGACCCCAACTTGTTTGCTTACCTCCATGTAAGTGGGAAAGTCAGTGAGGCGCCACCTGTCGATGCAATTAGAAATTAATTTCTAGAAACTGCCTGCAACAAAAATTAAGTCAAATAATTATTTTACAAAATAAAAATAAAAAGCAAAGTAAAACCAAATAAACCCCAATTTGTTATATACATTTTAAAAAATTGTTAATTAACATAAATTTTTTAAATTAACTTAAGTACGTTAAAAACTCTTTTTAAATTTAAACAGTTAATTTCCAGAGAAAGAAAAATTAAACAATCGTAATATCTAAAAAGAGTTATATTTTATAAGGAAAAATATTTCCAAAGTTTAAGAGTTTTTAAATATTTTAGAGTACTTCAGAGGTATGTATTTAACAACTCTTTCTCTCTCTATATATATGTATATAAAATGGATTCAACAGCCTGAAGGTGTTCATCCTATTAATATTACTCTCAAAAGTATAAAACTGCTTGCAATATAGCCCGTTAAATGTAATTGTTGTACAAGAAACTTCAATGAATATAATTTGCCTCGATTTCTTGAAAACAAAAGAACATTTCACATTATTGTTGAGACTGGCTGATACTAAACTCCACCAGTTATTTCTTAATTTTCCTTATCTGACTGTTCTATTTTACTTTCACTATTATATACACTAATACTTGTGCCGATATTAAATTTTATTTTCAAAAAGATAATGAAAATATAAATTTTTGAAATTTACTCTGTAAAGTATGTAATATATTAATTTTAAAAATTTCAATTATTTAAAATTATTTTATCAATTAATTGCCAAATTTATTAAGTCTAGAAATATTTTCTAATTACATATGTTGTGTTAATTTATGAAATATTACTCAATTGTTAATTAAATATTTTATCGTTTAACAATGTAATCGGAATGGAAAAGAAAAATACGTCGACCCTCCCGTCCAATAGATTTTCATTTCGACATATTTTTCACGCGAATTTTTAAAATATTATCGAAACACGAAATTCTCTCATTCAAGCATGAATGTCGAGAGAAAATTCTTTATATCGATGCCTTAATTTTTTCTATTATTATTATAATTATATAAATATCATTAAATACAAAAATTTCAAAGTCAAAAAAATACGAAGGAAGTCAATCATAAAATTTTCTAATTTCCACAAAAACTACTCAATTTCCACATTTAAAATGAATTTAAAAAAGGCTTTTTAAATTACGCAAAAATTACTCAAGTTTTCACTCTTCAAGTGATGCTACAAAAAAGGGACTTCAAATGCATGGAGAGGTGCCAAAACAGTTTATATAAGAGTGAAGGAAAAAAAATTGAAAAGAATGAATGAATAAACGAGCGAAGAAAATAAATGCGAAAGAGAATAAATGTCCACGTGAATGGATCATTATAACGCAAAACAAACAATGTTTATTGTGTCAGCCTTTGTGACAAATCTCAATTTTTATTTAAAAAAAATTCTGATGCTGCCTTACACCTACTGAATGTTATATAATAAATCATTATTAAATAATTATGTAGTATTTTCATGTATAAAATTGTACATTTTTAAAAGTATTTATAATGCAAAAGAAAGAAATTTTTAAAATATCTAATTGTTATTATTAGTAAATGATTAGTAAATTTTGTTTTTGTTAATTTTAACCTACAAATAAATTTTTAAAAACAACTTATAAATTTGAGAAGACATAAATGAGAAAATTATGTTAGCGGAAAAAATATAATCCTTAGAACAACAAAATAAAAAACACTTTTCATACTTCAGGTGTAATTAAAGTGTCAGAAATGTTTAAATGTCCGATAAAATATAATCTTTGTAAGATCGAAGTATTATTTGAAAAACATGTATGAAATAAACAATAATCTATTTTATGTGTGCAAAACTCATACAGCTTAACGAAAAGAACACAATAATATAAAATTACGAGAAACTAAATAAATATAATAAGCAACACCGTTAAATCTATTTTTTAAAATAATCCTAAACAAACTTTCATTTAATTCTAAACACTGTTAATTTTATACTTTAAAATCATTGAATTTATTAAAATCGATAATTTTATTAAAAATATCGCCTTATAAAGATTTACAAAAAATTAAAAAGAAACTTTTAAACAAAATTATGTTATCTACTTTTTTAAAAATTTTAAGAATTTGCGTTTACTTTTTTAACCTCAAAGTTTGATTTAAAAATACGTTTAAATTTTTACTATTATTTTAATATTTCTGCGACTAGTTATTTTTAATTAATTTATTTTTATTTAAATTAAAACAAATAGATAATTAAAAATAAATAAAAAAATTAAATATTTATTTAAATAATAGTAAAACGAATTTTAAAATGCTAAAAATATCAAAAGTGAATATCGAATAATAGAGTTGACCTGTTATTACCAAAAATATCACTCGCGAAACTAATTGATTTGGAGAAGAGAGAAAGAAAAATAATTTCCGTACTTTCGGTAATTAGACGCTTTTAGTACTATCGTATTGATTCTTTTTTACACTGATTATAATTTTAACATGAAAAAATAATCTAATTAGTAATTAATTAGTCTACCGATGTTTATGATGACGTTTATCCGTCGCAAACAGTCGCAAACAGCAAACGAGAATTAAATGGTCCGACAAGAGCGATCCGTCTTCTTGGTAAGTATTTTGAGAACTACGCTTAGTTTTCTTTCGGTCGTCGGTAATGCAGCGTTCAAATTATCATGTGGGGCACACCGATCACTGGACTGCTAGCTGACGAAATCATCATCTCCTCGTTGATTCTGGATACATTTGGGAATTAATTTCAAAAGAGGATTAAATAAAAGGAAAATAATATTTTCAATGGTAAGTGTACGTCACTATAGTAATAAACAGAGGTTATATAAAAATATTTATTTAAAAAAGCCTTTTTATAATATTTTCCTAAATATTTCAAAATACTTATGGTCTCTCATCACTTGTAAATATTAATTATTATATTAGAAAAGTCCAATTTTTCTATTCAGCTCTTTTGTTTTTGTCGCGATTCTTCATAACCCTTATGATTATTCTCTGGAATGAAATTAAATAAAAAGCACCCACAATCCTGAACAATCCCATCAATATTGATTGAATTAATACTTCACACCATGAAGAAAAAGGCGACATTCCAGCGCAGACGGTCGCCACCATAAAGCTCTCAAAGCCGATTATCGAGAAAAATTTTCCAGTCTGAAAAATTATTTTTAATTAATTATATTGACTTTGATAGAAAACGATTATTATTCATTAAAAAAGAAACTTAATAATTCTTTAACTATTGGAGGAATGTTTCACTCAGTTTCACTTTACTTAATTATCACTATTACTTAATATTTACATATTACATTTAATTTTCTCTGTTTTACAAAATTTAAATGTAAGTATTTCAATTTAAATTTTAATGTAATTTTAACATATTCAATTAATTTTTTTATTTTCAGATAATACTGAATATTAAATTATCAATTTCAATAATTCATTGTTTAATATTCGGAACGATGTTTCTTTAAAGAGATTAATTATTAAGCTTTAAAACATCTTTAAAAATTTATAGCAACAGAATAATTTATTAAAGCACGAAATAAAAGTGTTCTGTTTATAGAAAAAAAAATATTGATATACCTAAAGAAATTAAAATCTGATATTTTCAGGAAAGAGATAAATTCTTAATATATTTTTTTTACCTAAGTCTAGACAGCTTATTTAAAGAAATATTAAAATACTCGTTAATAGTTGACAATAGCTGAAAAATTCACCTATGAAAGTTTTAAAGTTCACTTTTTAGAATATGACAGTTATTTTCATTCGTTATTGTCCGGTTGGACTACTAGCGCCGTATGAACGGAAAGATCTAGAACTCATTGCTGGTTCAAGTAAAAAAACTTATCAGTTGGCGCTAGTGGTGTTACTGGACACAAACCAAACAGAGTAGGAAAACTATGTCAAAACGTTTATTTGCTGAAATGATTTTTATTAAGAAAGAAAGTGACAATTTTATATTTTGCTGTTAATCTGTGGCTCTCGAAATGTTAGAATAATTAAAGAATCTTTGTTTAAATATCTTCGTTTTTAATAATTTATTAATTTTTTTATTTTTCATAAATACTTTTCTAAATATTTTTTTGTTTACTTTTTCCAGACGACACGCTAGTATTGCAATCGGACACGGATCGAAGAGAACTGGAACGGGGTGACAACTTAATTCGACAAGTGTTTTAAGGTGAATTTCTGAGCTATAAAAATTAATAACTAATGCCATTTTTTCAAAAATACAAAATATGTATTTGGAACTTGGTCATTATAGTTATTTCCAATTAGGATAAAAATTCGGAAATATTGAAAAATATTCAAAAGTCCCAAATGGTCAATCAAAATTCTAAAAATAGACCACCCTCGCGTATAAAATAATCTGATTTTCAAGCCGACTATTGGAATCAGTAACATTCGTTCTTGTTTTCTATTTTCTGAATTGAGTGCCATTCGTTGTTTTCATCAAATTGTACATGTCACCTAAGAGACTACCGAGTATTGTAAAATAGATTCTTATCGAATTGTCATTGGAACTCTAAAATCGATCATAGAATTTTACATTTTGATTAAATCTTTGTAATACAATTTAAATGTTTAAAATTGACTTCAAATTGAAATTAAAAAAGTTAGTTACATTAGGAAGGAGGTAAAAAAAAGTAATTTTTCGGTATTGGGTTAAAATTTCGAGATTTAAAAAATCAATTATTAAAAAATGTGCGACTTATTTGAAAAAGAATTTCTCTTTCCTCCTGAATGGAAACTAAGTATTAATACCTACGTAATTTAGAGAAAATCCTCGTGATTTATTAAAATACTTACGAGAGCATCTTTGAACATGGTTTTTGCAACATCATCTGGTTCCATGAGATCAGCGGCTTGTGAAATTAATTTCGTTTCCAAGGGCTTTGTCAGTTCTTCTTGTTTAAATCCAGGAGTATTGGTATCAGGTGGTAAACTTAAAGTTACAGACACATTGTAAGGGGACAATTCCATAGAAAGGCATTCCGCTAATCCACGAACGGCAAATTTCGAACTCGCATAACCAGTGTAACCAAAGATTCCTAGATGCAAAAAAAAAATTACCAATTCAATTTTAAGTTAGTAATTAAATTTTTAATTTTTAATAACAGCAAACAAATTTCTTATTAATTTAAAAATTAATTAACCTAAACAGGCAGCTTGAGAAGCGGTTAAAATAATAATCCCCTCCTTTCGACTCTTCATCATTGGGACAATTGCCTTTGTACAATAAAATGTACCGAAATAATTTATATCAAACATGGTTTTTAAATTTTCCACTGTCGTATCTTCGATTTTTGCTGCAATTGCAGTGCCAGCACAATTTGCCAGCATGTAAATTGGTCCCATGGTCTTTTCAAGATCGAGTAATGATTTTTCTACTTCGTCGTAGTTTTTACTGATATCAAGGGACAAATATTCGACTCTCTGTGTATAAGGATTTTTGCAAGCTTCAACAATTTCATTTTTTGCCGACTCCAATTTTTGAATGTTTCGAGCAATGATGGTCACGTGAGCTCCACTTCGAGCAGCAATCAAAGCGACGCTTTTTCCTATTCCACATGAACCGCCAGTTACCTGCAAAAAAAAGACAATATTTCTAAAAAAAAAGATGAGAAAGAAAGAAACAATATCAACGATATCATTTGTAATATCAAATTTTGTTGATGCATCAAAATTAATTATTTTTATCTTTTTTATTTTTAATTTTACATTTGCAGATTTTTCTTTATCTGCAAATCTTATTTATCTTTCGAAATATAAAACAATGAACTGAACGATCACTCCGAGTCAAGTTAGTTATTTATTTTTATTTTCTTATTCTTTCTCTCAAGACAAAAATTAATGATAATTTGATTTTCAATGTATCATTTATGATAATTAATTAATTCTTTTGTATTTAATTCTCAGATAAAAAATTTAATATCACTGGTAAATTTTTTTTTTCATTACAAAAATTATATCGTAAAAGGTATATTTATAATTAACATTGTAGTTACTAAAAGTGGCTATGAACTATAAATATTATAATTGTGTAATGAATTCTATTTGTATTTTTAGAAAAAAAAACCAATTTCTATTTATGTAGTAAAATTTGTCTTTCTTAGTAAAATATAAAAATTTGTTATGTAGGTCTTAACTTATATTGAAATTCAAAATGGCGGATCCAATATGGCGAAAGATTTGTAAAAAACCTATATATTGACTCTAAAGGATTTTACAATTTTTGAAGCAAAAAAATATGAAATTAAAAATAAATTCGAAATCCTATGAAATATTTGTTAATTAAAAAATTCTTTTTATTAAAAGATAAAAATTATTTTAATTTTATTTTTAAATTAAAATTAATTATTTGTTTAGTTTAAAAATATAATTATTACCACAACGTGTTTATTCTCCACATTTTTCATATTTGTTCGGCAAAATAATTTTAGCGCGAAAACCATAATAAGTAGCACAAAAATGCAAACACCCATTATTATAAAATGTTCCATGTTGTCACTAGTTTTTTTTGTTATCAATTTTTTTTCAACATTAACCTCTAAGGTGAAGTAAAATACACATGAAAATTTACCGGCTAGTAAAGAGTTTGAAAAATTACCGAATAATTTAGTAAAATTAGGTTAAAAATCTAAAGAATTGTAAAGGTACAAACAATTTAAATCAACTTTAATTTTTTTTAAGGGAGTGTTTATATTTGTTTGGTTATTTTACGCACAATAAAGCATTTTTCTGATAGAGCTGACATTTTATCGAAGAAATTTTCATTAACGTCATCTATCCCTTTTACGGTTAAAATTGTAGTTTTACTCTATGGATATGAAGTAAATTTCATATAAATCAAACTTGTAAACAGTTATCAACTTCCGGTAAGAAAAGAACAATTTTATTTTAGTCTTGAAAACTTTCAGAAGATTAAAAAAAATTGAGGAGTCGACATCTTTCGGTAGGAGCAGGAAACTGTTGATAACTATTTGCTCTTGGTGCTTTTGGTCAGTGAAAGGTTCCGGCGAATTCACATAGATGGCAATATTCGAGTATTCAATAACTGGCGCCAAGTGGCGATGGCCTTAACTTTCAGTAGAAACAATCACACTACAAATCGATAATTCAAAAAGTGTAAAATACTTTTTCTTAGATTTACCATTTTTATCGTTATTGCACTTTTTATTTCTATTTCTACAAAAATTGTAAATTTTCAATAACTTCACTTCAATTTTCAGTTTATTTTACATTATTTCAAAATTTACGTTTTTACATTCAAAATTTACTTTTTTTTTATACAGAAAGAAGTTGAAATCCTCTATCGTGAATTTATTTAATTTAAAAATTCAGATAATTTAAATAAATAAATAATTTAAATTTCGAAATTTATGTTTTTAGGTTCAAAATTTAATTTTTTTTTATACAGAAAGAAGTTAAAAAGTATATTTAGAAATAAATCCTCTATGGAGATTTTATCTAATTAAATTTAGATAATTTAATTATTAATTATTAAATAAATCCTCTATCGTGAATTTATTTAATTTAAAAATTCAGATAATTTAAATTCCTAATTATTAATTAATATTACTTAATTTAATGAAGTCGTAGTTTGTAAATTAAAAGAAAAAGTGTTCCCTGACTTTTTTTTAATCTTTATACTCTATAATTAGAAAAACATTTGCACTAAAAAATATAATTTTTCTTCAATATTTCGTACTCTATAAATTACCTCCTAAAACAAGATTTATTACGAACTTTACAATAATTTTAAATAATTTCTAAAATTTACATATATATGAATCAATAAATTTTAATGCTTCTGCTCTCATTTTTCTTTAAAGTCAATAATTTGAAGAATTTCTATTTAAAAAAAAACAAGAAAAAATAATTTCTTGAATATAAAAATAAAAAGTAGAAACTTTAGACTTAAAGTTACATTTTAAAATATTTTATAACATTTTAAATTTCGATTTAAAAATTAACAAATAGGTGAAAAGTTATTTATATACATAATTGAATTTTTTGACGCAGTGAAGAAAGATACCCAAGAAGCAATATATTTTAAGGTTATGTTTGTATTATTTGCGCCTTAACTAAAAGTATCTACATGTTTTTATTTTATTAAAATTAGTTTTTAATTATTACTTTTAAATCAAAATTAACTAAATTAAGACATTCAATCTAAATCTGTTAAATTTTTATTAAAAAAAATTGCAAACATAACCTAAAATATAGTTTCTTCGAGGCGTGTCACAAAAATTAAAATTTTGAAATTTATTAATATTTATTAAATGGAAAGTTTGTTTGATGGTCATTTGTTTTTATTACAATTAGAAACATCAGAAATATTAAATAAATATAGAAGGCAAATTTAGACAAATTACATTTATATAAATTTTTCTTATCAAATTATCAAGATAACATCAAACATCTACTGATTTATGTCAGTGACTGGCACTGACTTCCACCCCGCCTTATTTTTATCGATTCTCAACATTTAGGACTCATGCAATCCTATAATTTAACACATTTTTCATTATTTCACTATACATACACCAGAATTGGAGAAAAGTTTATAAAAAACAATTCTTTTTCTTATAATGTCTAGGGAAAAATAATCTTAAATTTAGAGGATTGTAAAAAAAAAATTCTCTTATGTTAATAATTTATATCGAGAATTAAAAAGTATAAATAGAAATTTTAGAGTTAAAATTGATGAGGATTTCTTTTTTCCAATCTTCTTAAATTAAGAGTTTTGTGGGGAAAAAAGGAGGGAGGGGTAAATTCCATATATATGGTTATAATTTTTATGGTAATCTTAAATTATTTTTAATTTTTTGTAAATTTTTTGATAAATTAGATTATTGAAGAAAGAGAAGTATGCTAATTTATATAATATATACGTTCAAGAATAAGCATATATTGACTTTTCTGAGAGGGATAAAAATTCTTTGATGTTATCCACATGGAATATTATAGTTGAAAAAGAGATGAGAAGCAAAGTGTATATAGTGAGGCTGAATGTTAATATTTCCTCAACATCAGGGTTGGAAGAGAAGTGAAGCCGAGCGCAAACCTCATCTGCATCGATTTCAGGCGTTCACGTTCAATATATATATATATAGAGAGAGTTACCTACAAAATAAGCTTCAATAATTTGCTGTTTGTCTCTTTTCTTCATTTCAAATCACAAAATTGTGTCGTCATTTTCCCTAAAGTGATGTCTCATAGTTATCGGTTATCAATTAGCCTGCCAGCCTTTATCTTTTGTCTCTCTCACTCTCTCTCTCTCTCTCTCTCTCTCTCTCTCTCTCTCTCTCTCTCTCTCTCTCTCTCTCTCTCTCTGAATAAATATATATATACAAAATATATATATGTATAGCAAAATACCTACGTGCATTCACCCCCAAGAGTCAACCCCACCAACTCCACCACTCCCCTTCCGTTATCCTTCCTGCAAAAGGTCACGTACCACCACCACCCTGTCGATCGTTCACCTCGTCCTGGGACTTGCTCCTGGGATACCAGGTTAAAGCGGAAGATACAAAGGACATTTACCCCCCTTTTTTAAAAATACATTTCTTTTTTTTTACTCTTCTTTTCTCAATGGAATTTCATGTATTTTTAAATTATTCTGTTTCAGATATGGCAAATATGAAAATTTTCAATTTAATTCGAAAAAATTTTTCTTCTATAGAAAAATTTTAATATAATTCTTCTATAAACAAAAAACAATAAAATTTTTGACGAATTTCACAATTATGAATTCTTAAAAGCCACAGAATGACAAGATTTAAACGAATTTAAAAATAGAATAAAGTTAAAAAAAAAATTCCCCCATATTGGATCCGACATTTTGAATTTTTCAAAATCGACTTCGAATTCGTATACAGCGACCCCAAAAACCCCCCGAGTAACAAGTTTTAAACGAATCTGCTGAATTTCTAATTTTCTCGTCCGCCATATTGGATCCGCCATTTTGAATTTTTCAAAATCGACTTTGTATTCGTAATCAGCGACCCCAAAAACCCCCAAGTAACAAGTTTTAAATGAATCCGCTGGGTTTTTAATTTTCTAGTCCGCCATATTGGATCCACCATTTTGAATTTTTTAAAAACCGACTACGAATTCGTAAACAGCGACCCCAAAAACCCTCGAGTAACAAATTTGAAACGAATCCGCTGTATTTTCAGTTTTCTCGTTCGCCATATTGGATCCGGCATTTTGAATTTTTAAAAACTGACTTTAAATTCGTAACCACTGTTTCCAGAAACCTTTGATTAACAATTTTCAGTAAACAGACGAGTAGTATTAGAAAATGCTTCTAAAATAAATAATTAAAACTACTAAATCGTAAAATTTAAGTGGTATTTTAGGTTTTTTTTCAAAAATTACGAATTTATAGTCAAAATTGAAATATTCAAAATGGTGGAACCAACATGGCGGCAAAAAATTTAAAAAAAAATCAACGAAATCGCTTGAAACTTGCAACTCGGGGGTTTTTTGAGGTCACCGATTATGAATCTGATATCAGATTTTCAAAATTCAAAAAGAAAAAAAATTTTTCAAGAAACATATTAGAAAACAGATAAGGAAGATTATTATTTACTTTTCCTACAATTGAGGTAAAAATATGTAAATATGAAATTGGTGACTGCAAGTAATAGGGGAATAAGATGTATATAAATACTGAAGGAAAGATTAAAATATATTGTCTCTTTCAAAGAAAAGACAGTAAATATAGTATTGAATCTTCAATGTCTATCTATATTCAATCTTCTATAGGCGATATAAACGTCTATAGACATTTAATAGACAACAATTATGACGTTTTCAATATTTTGACGTCTAAAGACATCAAATTAATTATATGATTTGATGTCTGTGAACTCTGAAGAATGATACTTACAGCAAAAAATTTAAAGCTCGATTAAAAGTTATATTTGTAATTTTTGAAATCAAAAAACACAAAAAGAAGATCAAATTCTAATATAAATCACTGATATTAAAGTCTTAATTTCAATCTAAAATAATTCATATGTACTTGAATACTAATTTTGATTTCGAATACTTTTAAGTAATTTAAATACTTTAAAAACTTTTAAGTGCTTTAAATACATTAAGTACTTTTAAGTGCTTTAAGTACTTTTAAGTTCTTTAAATACTTTAAGTGATTTGAATACTTTAAGTACTTTTAAGTGCTTTAAGTACTTTTAAGTTCTTTAAATACTTTAAGTACTTTTAAGTGCTTTAAGTACTTTTAAGTTCTTTAAATACTTTAAGTGCTTTAAATAGTTTAAGTACTTTTAAGTGCTTTAAGTACTTTTAAGTTCTTTAAATACTTTAAGTGCTTTTAACACTTTAAGTACTTTTAAGTGCTTTAAATATTTTAAAATACTTTTAAAACTTTTAAATATATACTTTTTTTAAAAGCTCATAACATATATTGTTATTTTTATATTATTTTTACTATTTTATAAACCTACATAACGCTGGAATGCGGAATGCAAGGTATCTGTAAGCAGATTTCCCAAAAGTCCCTAAGCTTTCAAAAAAGTACTATAAAAATAATTATATTTAATTTTCTTATATTGTGTTATAAATTAAGTTTTTTATTAATATTATTTTATGTAAATAATTAATTAATTTTTCAGTTAAAGAAGTCGCTATTTAAATAATTTGATTATTATAGTAAAATTTTAATTTAAAAAATTAATTCATTTCAGATAAAGAAGTATATGTAAATAATTTAAAATTATTAGTAAAAGATTAAAC